CAGCCGGCTGTAGACCCTCCCCTCAGCCGTTTCTGGGAAGCGGTGTGACCCGCGACCACACGTGGAGCTGCAGGGGCTCTCGTCCGGTCCCTGCCCTGAGTCCCCACGTGGCCAGCCCATCTGTGTGTGGTTGGAACCAGGAGGGGGACCAGGGACTCTGAGCGGACAGTTGCCGTGTTGCTCGGCCTGTGGTCACCTGGCTCCACATGTTTGGAGGGAACCGTGAGGGAAGTCACCACAGACTCGGCCCAGCCGCGGGGCGGAGGGTCCCTGACCTCCGCTCTGCACAAGAACCCAACACCCTGTTTAAGAAGCTTTGTCCGTACATGTCTGCCTGCCACCATTTCTGCCACACACACACCCAGCCTTGGCACAGGGCCTCCTTTCCCCCCTCCACTCCCTCCTCTCCCCTCCTCTCCCCCTCCTTCCCCTCCTCTCCCTCCTCTCCCCTCCTGTCTCCGTACTCTCCTCCTCCTCTCCCCCCTCCTCTCCCTCTCTTCTCTCCCTTCCTCTCCCTCCTCTCCCTCCTCTCCCCTCCTGTCTCCGTACTCTCCTCCTCCTCTCCCCCCTCCTCTCCCTCTCTTCTCTCCCTTCCTCTCCCTCCTCTCCCTCCTCTCTCTTTCTCTCCCTCCTTCTCCCCCCTCCCTCCCTCCTCTCCCTCTCCCTCTCCCTCCTCGTTGCCCTCATCCATGCTTCTTCCCCTCTTGGTCCTTGTTGGCTGTGCATCAGCTGGGGACACAAGTGGGGTTTGGAATGTTGAAAATCAGACGTCAGAATTTCCAGGGCCAACTCAGTAGTGAGATAATTCCTATGCAAAGTGCACGACTGTCTTCTGAGGTGGGAGCAAGGTGTGTAGTGGGAGCGGAGACGTGGACTTCAGGACGGACAGAAGGACAGAGCTGCGGTGCAGCTTGAGGGGCTCCGGGAGCAGGAGCTGAGCTCCGAACTGCACGGCATCCCCTCCCTGGGTCCCTGGGTCCCTGGGTCCCTGGGGGATGCAGCCCTCCTTGGACCCCAGATCCCAGGCAGGGGTGGCGGGGGCAGCAGGGCGAGCTCTTTTTCCTCAGTGTCTTCAGAGTATTGCTGATAACCATCAGAGGACCTTCAGGTGTAACTGTCTCCTTAAACGCAGTGTCTGACTTCTAGCCTTTTGGCCTTTTGCTGTTACTCCCAGCCTTGATTTCTTTCCCAGACAAATGAACCTGGTGGCATTTCCTCAGGAAATGTTACATCTAAAAGTGGCACTTAGAGATTTTAAACGGAAAGCATTCCTTCCCTCCACAGAAACGTGGTGCCCACATGTGTGGGGTGACCTGCCACTGATGAGGTCATGCTCAGTGTTGTTGACGGATAACAGCACTGCAATTCTTTGAGGGTGCCTGATCCCACTGTCATGCGCCTGTGCCCACATATATGTGCACCTGTGCCCACAATGGTCAGAATCAATTATGTCAACTTCCACCTTAAGCAGCTGGGAGAAGAGCTGACGAGAACCAAAACAGAGTAGCTCTCCACGCGCGAGAAGGTGCTAGCCCTCAGCTGTGGGGAAACCTGGGTGAATCTGCATTCACATGTCTCCAAGTCCTTGCTCCACTCGGGAGACACTGGGAGACCAGGCAGCAGGCGGGACCCCCGTAGGAATGTCATAGGAGAGTTGATACACAGTTATCTGCCAGTGTGGACTAACTGCAAAGTTTCCAAGAGCTGCGGTGCCCCCTCGGGCCCTGGCAGAATGTCCATGGGGGGAACACACCAGGACAGGCCTCTTTGCCCCTCCAATGGCGGGTGAGTGCGCATATGTGTATTTTATAGAAAAATGAAACGTTCAGAGTACGTGCCATTCTTTTTGATGATTATCTCCTTCAACAAACTATGTACCAACCCTGATCGCTCGAGACTAGTGGCTCCGACATAAAGTAGGATGGATCAAAACAGCTCAGAGCGTCATGTTGAGAGGACAGATTGAACAGGAAGGTGTGTGGTCGCCCTGTGTAGTCGCCCTGTGACCTCAGGCCACTCTGCAGCAGGTGTCAGAAGATCCTTTAAGCGGCCGCCGTCAGCGTGAGTGAGAAGGCTCCAGCTTGGCCTCATGGAAGACACTGCACTGCTGAGTGGACTGGTCGGAGGAGATCTGAGATGTGAGGACGACTTGCTCGCTGCCACACCGAGCTCAGAACGTGACAGCCTCCTGGGCCCAGCCTGGGGACCAAAGGCCTCATCCTCCAGATTAAGCTTGGGGCCCCGCCCCGGGTGGCGCTGCAGGCTGGCCTCACCTCCTCTGTCTGTGTCCTGCGTGTGCTGTCCTTTGTCCCTTCGGGCTGTAGTGCAGGGTCCGTGGCTCGTGCAGGGTCCGTGGCTCGTGCGGTGCCATCAAATCAGAGACGAAGCTCCAGGTTCTGCCCGCAGGAGCCACTGCTTCTGACCTTTCTCCACGTCTTCCTCCTGCCTGACCCTAAGCCTTCCCGAGAGAGAGGGAAGGAGGCAGGGTGCCAGGGACAGACAGAGAGCCACCCATAGACAGAGTGAGACACACAGACATGAGGTAAAGACAGATAAAGAGACACAGAAATACACGGAGAGCCATAGAGAGGCAAACACAGAGAGAGACACACACACAGACACGAGACAGATAAAGAGAGAAGACACAGAGACATGAGACAGAGAGGAGACAGAGACGGGTATAGAGAGACACAGAGGGATAGAGACAGACAGACAGAGACCAGGGAGTGGTGCTTCCAGACGTGGATGACGAAGGAGCCACCTTGGAACGACCCTTGGTCTTCAGATGTCTCAGGTAGAGAAGGACCCACCGGCAAGCCCCTCCCGGATTCCAGACTCACAGCAGCACGAGCAAAGTCAGGCAGTTGGGTTAAAGGCCTGGACTCGAACATGATGTGTTGGCGAGGACACTGGTGTGTTAGTGAGGACCAAGCGTGAAGACAAACACTGTGTATTAAGCAGGTGCTCAGCTGCTGCGTTGGATGGTCTACATGGAGTCACAGTCAAAGGGGGAGTCGAGGGGCTGGTGCTGTAACTAAACAGGAATTGAATTGTGTCCCGGAAAAAGGCACCCAGGACCTGTGGTCAGGCCTGTCTGCACACCACAGGGTCTTTGCAGATGGTGCCCGTTCACTTGGAGTCACACTGCAGTGGGTGCATTCTTGCCCCGGGTGAGTGGGGTCTTACGAAAGAGAAGGTGGCAGGAAGGATGTGTGATGCAGTAGCTGCAGGCTGGAGCCACCAGGACGAGGGGAGACCCTTGGGACAGACCCTTCCTCAGAGCTGCAGAAGGATCGGCATGGCCCCCACCCTGTGAGAGAATACCTGCCGATGGCTTTTCCATATCTTGTCCGGGCAGCCCCAGGACCCTCCTGCAGGGTCTGTGTCCCGATACTTTTTATCTTATGTGTTACAGGCATTCCCCTGTGTGGTAACTATGTTTGTGTGTCAACTAGCCTGGCCTGGTTGAGTGGCTGGGCAGCTGGTGGTAGTTATTCCCCAGGATGAGTCTGGTCATCAACTCCATGGTGGGATCTACTGTGAGCAGCCGAGTAGCTGCCTTTGGGATGTGGTCTGCTTCCTGTATAGAAGCAGCAGCCTTGGGAACGGTCTCTAGCTTATGGGACGCTTGGACCCTGCATGCAGCCATGTCGTTGTTCAGCAGCCTGCCATGCTCTGCTGACCTTGGGACTTACAGTGGACTTAAATGACTGGCCTGCCGTGTGGTTTGGTAACATCAGGACTGTGCCTTTTAACTTGTCAACCTTGGGTTTGTCAGCCTCAGCAGCCAGCAGCTGTCTGAGTGAAGAAAAACCTCTAGCTCCAGTGGGCTGAGAGCAGGAGGCAGAGCTGGACCCCAAAGTTGAGGAGCTTTCACCCAGCCCCTAGAGCCTGGCACTTTGAACTTGGACGTAAAGCCTCCAAACAGTAAGAGAATAAACTCCTGTTTGTTAAGGTCATCCCATTTGTGGTATATTCCTGTCAGAGCACCACTAGGTAACCCAAACAGAATATGGTACCGAGAGAGCAGTACTAGGTAACCAGAACACCTTGCATCTCTAGAAAAAGAACACTTTCTTGTGACTCAAAAATGGGAGCAGGTTTGTCACTGCGATGGAGGAAGCGGTGGAGGGGTCTTCGTAGCAGGTCGAGCTGGCTGTCACCTGCTCTCCCACCACACTCAGAGGTTGTGTCCTCTCAGCCAGGCCTGTGTCCCCTCAGGCTGGCCTGCAGCTCCTGTGGCACAGAGGGTGGGGGCCTTGTTTGAGGCTGTGCCCTGCTGATGAGGCCTCTGATCAACTAGACGTTCAAGGGGCGTGACGCTGGTAACAGATAGAGGCCATGTGCCACGTGGGATGCCCAGGCGAGTGGCAGAGGATGGTGCTTCCTCCCCTCAGCTGCAGGGCCCTCTCTGCCTGATGTCCCTCGCTCAGTGACTTGGAGGGACCTTCCCCTCGGCTGTGGGGCCTGCTTCTCCTGTCACGCCCTCCTCTCAGCTGTCGGTGGCCCTCCTGCTCTGGGTCCACCTGAATGGTATGGCCCCACCTCCTGCCTTGGACACATGACTGAGGCCCATCCCCTCACACTGGGACCTCAGGTCCTGGGAGGACACATACCCATGGGTAGTGAGCATGTGTGACTCATTCCAATCTGAGAGTCTTCATTTTGTGTTATGGTGGCCCCACGGTGGAGCGTGGTAGGGACACTGGTGAATGTTGGGGCTGGACCTGCTGGGTCCAGGGCCCCCTCACTAACCTCACTTCCCCTCTGCCCTCTGCCCTCTGTCCTCTGCCCTCTGCCCTCTGCCCTCTGCCCTCTGTCGCAGGCCCAGTACCCTCGCCTCACGGCCCCCCAGGACGGCTGGCCACTGAACACCCGGGGGAAGGTGGTCGTGCAGCCAGCGGCCCTCTGTGGAGTGTGGCTCAGACATGCAGCCAGGCTGGTCCTGACATGACTCTCCCAGCGGGGGTGGGGACCAGAGCTCATCGCTCCCTGAGGCCATGCATGGCCGGATCTTCACGGGAGACCCGCTGGCGTGGGTGAGCGCTGAGCAGGGCGGCACCTCCGATCAGAGCTCCCTGCTGACCACCTTCACCACCACGCACCGAGGCCCACGGGGCAGCGACACGGACCCTGCTGTCATCGTGCAGGGCTGCTCCTGGCCCGAGCACGCACAGCTCCACAGCTTCTGGGAGGCCCCAGCCATGACAAGCCCCTGTTCCTGGCAGGGCGCCCCGACTCTGCAGCCATGCTCTGGGTATCTTGACGGAGACCCCGCAACCCCCCGTGAGAGCTCGGATGGACACTTAGAAGGGCCAGCGGTGGGACTGGGGCCTCGGGACGGGAGAGGCAGCCCCGAGGCCTTCTACGCAGGTGGGCCCAGCCTGAGCCCTGGGGGGCGCTGGTTCCGGAAGTCGTACGTGGAGGCCCTTCGCAACCCTGTGCCCCTGGGCTCCAGCTCTGAGGAGTCCCTCCTGGATGAGGCTGAGGATGCAGCAGGTGGGCGATTGGCCCAGGACAGCAGGCCCAGGATGGCCACCAGCCGGGGACAGAGGGTCCCCACACACCCCCAGAGCCCGCGGGAGAGCCACCCCCGCACAGACAGGACGAGGATGCCATCCAGGAGGTCGCGGTCCTGGGACAAACCCTTTAGGAGCCCATTCTGCAGCAAGCCTGACGAGGCCAAGTGGGCTTTGGGTGACTCTCCAGGCCTTGGGCCCGAGCGTCTCCCTGGAGGTCAGGCTGCAGGGACAGCAGCTGTTGGTCTCGGTGCTGCAGTGGACAGCCCCGAGAGCCCCCAGGAGAAGGCAGGTAAAGGCCGCGACGCCTCCCCGATGCCCAGGTGGCGAGGTTCATGGGCAGCCCCGTGTCCGAGCCCCCATGGACTTGGTGTTTGCATGGAAGCCCCTCCATGTGACAGGACGGAAACACCCGGCGTTAAGCGCCTGTTCTATCTTCCAGGATCGCACCTGTGCTGTAAGGTGTGGCTGTGTGCACGCTCCCGAAACAGGACAGGTCTCTCTCCGGGTTCTCCTGGGCCCTGTTCTCGTCACATTGGTGTGCTTCCTTAGCAGTGAGCTCAGCACTGCACAGACCCCAGCAAGGGCCCCTCTGACCTGCCTCTCTCCTCTAGCCTCAGCCGGTGTCTACTCGGACAGCAGCACCTCCTGGGGACCGGTGCCTGGCGCCTTCTCTGACCAGCCGCCCAAGCCACTGTGCCCTAGAGGCCCGAGAGACGCAGAGCTTGGGGCGCCCAGCCAGGTGCTGGGTGTTAGCCCAGCACTGCTGCAGTTGGGGGCTATGACCCTCCCGGGTAAGTGACACGGTGCTGCGTGGACTCCCAACACCTGGGCCCAGCCCCACTAACGACGGCCCTCTGTCCCCGCAGGGACCCGGGACCGCGGTGGCCGGGCCGTGGTGCAGGTGTGCACGGGAGGCCCGCTCTGGGCCGGGGAGCATGCCTCCAGCACCGAGCTGACCCGCCTCCTGATGTGCCTGTGCAGCATCCCCAGGTGGGGCCCGGGCCGCTCCCGGCTCACACCTGTATGTGTGGGGCTCCCTCCTCCCTGGGCGGCGGTGGGGTCAGGAGCCGCGGCCGGGACAGCCCACGTGAACAGGTCCTCTGCCAGGTGGGAGTCTCCCCACTGTGAGCACAGGCGCCCCTCTGACCGACGGGGCCTCTCTGCTGACTTAGAATTGTGGCTGTGGCAACAGATTTTTCCATTCCGACCCTCTGCCCCCCACCTTGTCCCTCTCCTCCCACAGGCAGAAGCTGCACTCACTCTTCTGTCCTCCAGGTCTCCTGGGGAGTGGGGGTCTGCCAGCTCAGGCTGCCCTCCCTGTCCGGTCCCCTCTTGCACTCTTGGTTCCCTCCTCATGTTGTCCCCCTCTCAGGTGGTGCCCCCTCCTCAGGTTGTCCCCCACCTCAGGTCATTCGCTCCACCATGGGTCGTAACCCCCACCTTGGGTCGTATCCCCTCCTTGGGTGGTCCCCCACCATGGGTTGTCTGCCCCTCAGGTCATCCCCCCTCAGGTCATCCCCCCTTGGACCATTCCCCCCACAGGTCGTCCTCCACCTCAGATCATCTCCCCCACCCTGGGTTGTCCCCTCACCATGGGTCGTTCCCCCTCCCTCAGGTCGTCCACCCCACCATGGGTCAGCCCCCCCTTGGGTTGTCCTCCTCTGCCACCCTTGATTGGACAGCTCTGCGTTACCTAGTCATCATTTTAATGCGTTGATTACAAGTTTGTACTTTACACTCCTGCTTATTCTAAAAACAACTTGATATAGCCTTGGAGGAAAACGCAAGCTGGCATGGCAGGGTGTTCAGAATCAAATGTGAAGAGACCATACAGAGAAATGTGCTATGTGGGGCAGGACCGGAGAGTGTTTGTGTGGTGCCCTCATTTCTGCTCACCTCAACCTGAGATGAGGCTGACATGCCCTTGCGTCCTGAGGATGAAAGGTGTCACCTGGGTCCTGTGGAGGACACAGTGTCCCTACAGCCCACTCCAGAGGCAGGTGGCTGGATGACCTCCCAGGCTGTGGTTTCGGGTGCTCCCATGGTCCCAGGACAGAAGCAGGATCACTGATTCGAGGAAGGTTAAAGCTGTCGTTGGGCCTCTTCACCCAGCAGATACAAATGGAGCCCTTGGTCAGACGGCCCAGATTCAGTCCAGGCTTGGCCCTCCATGGATGGGGTAGGACGTGGGCCTCACTAGGCTGGTCCATGGTGGTAACAGTGTCTCAAAGTGTGTTAAAACTTAGTCTGAGCAGTGGAAGGTGCCAACCCTTGATTTATGTGAGGCCTGGAGCACTGTGGTACATGATACACCATCATGAGATGTGATCTCATGTGGAGACGTATTACATGATACATCATCATGTGATGTGATCTTGTGTGGGGACATATTACATGATGCACCGAGACATGATGTAATCTCATGTGGGCACGTATTACATGATACACTGAAACATGATGTGATCTCACATGAGGATGTATTACATGATACACTGAGAGATGATGTGATCTCGTGTGAGGACATATTACATGATACGCCGTCACATCACTGGTCTGGTGTTCTTTGCAGCGATTCAGCTTTCTACTGAAATTTCTTCTGAAACAGCATAGATGGGATCAATGCAGGAACATTGAGACAGAAGCAGAGTCATGATGTTCTCTCCCCTCCTTCCCCAGATGTGCTTCCCAGTTATGTGGCAGGGACTGCTTTTGCTGCCTGAAGTGAGCCTGGGATTTCAAAATTTTCTATCAGCACAAGACCAATGAAACCACTCTGGACAAATACATTTCATCTATGCTTTAGTTTGCACTTTATAAGTCCTGGTCTAGAATAACGACATATTCTGTTTTCCAAAAGTGTTCTTTTATGGAAGTTCTGTAGAACTAACCTGGTGGGGCATGCCTCAAAATGGGAAGAAACAGCTGCGAACATCCATTAATAATCGGAACATGGAATGTACAAAGTATGAATCTAGGAAAATTGGAAATTGTCAGAAATGAAATGGTACATATACAGATCAATATCCTAGGCATTAGTGAGCTGCAGTGGACTAGTATTGACCATTGTGAATCAAATAGTCATATACTCTACTATACCCAGAATGACAAATTGAAGAGGAATGGTGTGGTATTCATTGTCACAAAGAATGTTTCAAGATCCATCCCGAAGTACCATGCTGTCTGTGATATGATAATGTCCATACGCCACTAGGAAGACCAGTTAATACTATTATTACTCAAATTTATACACCAACCACCAAAGCCAAAGATGAAGAAATTGAAGATTTTTTGCCAACTTCTGCAGTCTAAAGTTGACTAAACATGCAGTCAAGATATATTCTCACCGGTGATTGGAATGTGCAAGTTGGAAACAAAGAAGAATCATGGGTAGTTGAAAAATATGGTCTTGGTGATAGAAATGACACTGGAGGTCACATGGTAGAATTTTGCAAGACCAATGATTTATTCATTGCAAAGACCTTTTTTCAACAATATAAGTGGCAGCTATACACGTAGACCTTGCCAGACGGAATACACATAGACCTTGCCAGATGGAATACACAGGAATCAGATTGACTACATCTGTGGAAGGAGGTGATGGAGAAACTCAATATCTTCAGCCAAAATAAGACCAGAAGCTGATGTGGAACAGACCATCAACTGCTCATATGCAAGTTCCAGTTGAAGCTGAAGAAAATTAAAACAAGTCCAGGAGAACCAAAATATGACCTTGATTATATCTCACCCGACTTTAGAGACCATCTAAAGGTGTGCTGCATTGAACACCAATGAGCAAGACAAGACAAGTTGTAGGATGACAAAGACTATCATCCATGAAGAAAGCAAAAGGTCATTAAAGAGCCAGGAAAAGAAGAAAAGACCAATATGGATGGCAGAAGAGGATCTGAAACTTGTTCTTGAATGAAAATTAGCTAAAGCAAATGGAAGAAATGATGATATAAAAGAGCTGAGCAGATTTCAAAGGCAGCTCAAGAAGACAAAGTAAAGTATTAGAACGAAATGTGCAAAGACCTGGAGTTAGAAAGCCAAAAGGAAAGAACACACTTGGCATTTCTCAAGCTGAAAGAACTGAAGAAAAAATTCAAGCCTCAAGTTGCAATATTGAAAGATTCTATGGGCAAAATATTGAAGCTATAGGAAACATCAAAAGAAGATGGAAGGAATACGCAGAGTCACTGCACCAAAAATGATCGATTGATCTTCAACTATTTTAGGAGGTAGCATATGACTGAGAACAAATAGCATTGAAGGAAGAAGTCCAAGCTGCATTAAAGAATTGGCAAAAACAAAGCTCCAGGAATTGATGGAATATACATTGAGATGTTTCAACAAACGGATGCCATGCTGGAGGCACTCACTTGGCTATGCCAAGAAATTTGGAAGAGAACGACCTGGCCACCTGACTGGAAGAGATCCGTATTTGTACCCATTCCAAAGAAAGGTGACCCCACAGAATGTGGAAATTATTGAACAAGATCATTAATACCACATTCAAGTAAGATTTTGCTGAAGACAATTAAAAAATGGTTGCAGCATGTTCTGGTTACCTAGTGGTGCTCTGACAGGAAGATACCACAAATGCGATGGCTTGAACAAACAGGAGTTTGGAGTTTGGAGTTTGGAGGCTTTAAGTCTGAGTTCAAAGTGCCAGGCCCTAGGGGCTGGGTGAAAGCCTCTCAATCTTGGGCTTCACCTCTGCCTCTTGCTCCCACCCCATTGGAGCTAGAGGCTTTTCTTCACTCAGACAGCTGCTGGCTGCTGAGACTAACAGGCCCAAGGTCAACAAATAAAACAGCACAGTCTTGTTGTTACCAAACCACATAGCAGGCCATTAATTTAAATCTGTTGTAAGTCCCAAGATTGGGAGAGCATGGCAGGCTGCTGAACAACGACACAGCTACATGCAGGGTTCAAGAGTGCCATAAGCTGGAGACCATTCCCAAAGCTGCTTCTTATATATGAGAAGCAGACCACATACCCAACAACAGCTACTCAGCTGCTTCTGGTAGATCCCACCATGGAGTTGATTGCCAGTCTCATCATGGGAATCCAGCTGGCCAGCCATTCAACCAGGCACACAATCTTCACCACACAGCAGTACATTAACAGGAATGTCAGAAATGCAAGCTGAACTCAGGATGTGGAACGAGGGATATCATTGCTGATGTCAGATGGATCTTGGCTGAAAGCAAATACCAGAAAGATGTTTGTCTGTGTTTTATGACTATACAAAGGCATTTGACTGTGTGAATCATAAATTATGAATAACATTGCAAATAATGGGAATTCCAGAACACTTAATTATGCTTATGAGGAACCTGTACATAGACCAGGAGGCTGTCGTTCGAACAGAACAAGGAGACACTGCATGGTTTAAAATCAGGAAGAATGTCCTTCAGGGTTGTATCTTTTCACAGTATTTATTCATTCTGTATGCTGAGCAAATAATCAGGGAAGCTGGACTATATGAAGAAGAATGCAGCATCAGGATTGGAGGAATATCCACAGATGACACAACTTTGCTTGCTGAAAGTGAAGATGACTTGAAGCACTTACTGATGAAGGTCAAAGTATTACACCTCAACAAAAAGAAAAAAAAAAAAATCCTCACAACTAGACCAATAAGCAACATCACAATAAATAGAGAAAAGATTGATATCATCAGGGATTTCAGTTTACTTGGATCCACAGTCAACACCCATGGAAGCAGCAGGCAAGAAATGAAATGTATTGCACTGGGCAAATCTGCTGCAAAGGACCTCTTTAAAGTGTTAAGGAGCAAAGATGTCTCTTTGAAGACTAAGGTGTTGCCGATCCAAGCTATGGTATTTTCGATTGCCTCATATGCCCGAGAAAGGCCTGGCCTGGAAGAGCATCCGCAGTGTGTCTTGTTAACAGTTACCACAGCTATGTTAGGAGGAGCCCTACTCCCTGCATACCTGTAAGCCTGCCTTAAAAATGGACTACCATCAAAGCCTTAGGTACAAATACGTATCAAGTCTCCAAATCACCCACCTGAGTCCTGCCTAGTGCAGGAATCCACCCACTGTTTGTTCACCCATCTCCATACACTCATCCTCTATTCGTCCTTTGTCCATCCATCCACTGTCCATCTATTCTCTATCCATTCATACATCCTTCATCCATGCAACCGTCCTCCCTTCAACTATCCAACTAACCATCCATCCATCCACCCCCCAACCCCATCCTTCATCCATCCACTCATTTCCATCCATCTACCCATTCATCCATCCTCTAGCCTCCTTCCAGCCACCCTCCATCTATCCTCCCTAACCCTAACCCAACCATTCATCCATTCATCCATCTTCCATCCATCTACCCATTTTCATCTTCCATCCATCCATCCATCAACCACTCATCTTCTATCCATCCAACCTCCACTCATCCGTCCATTCTCCATCCAATCCCCTCATCCATTTATCCATCAGTCTGTCCATCCAAAGGAGAATAGAATGTGGTGCCTGCTCTCAAGGTAGACACATGTTGTTAGGTGTCGTCAAGTTGTCTCCAACTCAGTGACCGTATGCACAGCAGAACAAAAAACTACCCGGTCTTGTGCCAGCCTCACAATCCTTGCTATACATACTAAGCCCATCGTTGCAGCCACTGTGTCTATCCATCTCGTTGAGGGCTTTCCCCTTCTTCGTTGACTCCTCAGGTCAACACATACATAGACACATATGTTGTTATGTGTCGTTGAGTTGAACCTGATTCATAGCAACCACTCCTTGGGTTTCTAAGGTGTTATCACTACGGAAGTAGATCGCCCAACCTTCCTTCTAAGGAGTAGCTCGTGGGTTTGAACTGCCAGCCTTCTTGTTAGCAGTCAAGTACCTTAGGCACTACACTACCAGAACTCCTTAATAGACCTAAATTATTGTAGCTCCCAGTGTCAGACAAGTCCACAGTACTGGGGAAGGAGCCACAGCTTGGCTAGGCAGGCTGGGGACTTTTCACAGACAGGCTCCTGGTCTACTCCTTGAAGAAAACAAGAGAAGGGCTTTCTGGGTAGAAGGCCTAGCACTCACAAAGCCCAGAACTGATGTGACATTCTCCACTGGAGGTGGAACTGAGAGTGGACAAGACCAGGAGATGCTGCGAAGGGAGCATGCCCTTTGGCTGGAAGACCATGCTGACTGTGGTATCCGAGTGGATGGAGGGACCAGATGGGGGCAGGAGACCTAGGATTCTGAGGGAAGAACAGCACAGTGTCCTCAGGTGAGGAAAGGACCTCAAGGGATGAAGCCAGGAACGTGGTGGCTGAGGGGTTCATTTGGCCAGTTCCACTGGGCAGGGAAATGGAAACCCAAGAAGAGAAGTAGGTGTGGCCTGGGGCTCACACTGAGTGGCAGTAATGAGCATCTGCTCTCAGTGGGTCTGAGGAGAGGTGGGCTGCTCACTCTGCTGCCTCTTCAGCAAAGCCGCCGGTGGATCAGATGGATAACGAAGGACAGGCCCATCACTAGACAGTGGCCAGCAATGCTGCAAGACACGTCTGGCCATCTCCACACGGCAGCTCCTCATGTTTGGAGGAGATGGTCTTACTGGGTTCTCGGAAGCAGGCCCTGAGTCATGGACACAATGGCTGGTGTCATGCCAGAGGTGAAGGAGGAGCACCAGGGTTGGGTCGTCGGGGCAGGGCAGGCATGGTCCAGGGAGCATCATCTACCTCACTACTGTCGGTTGCTGGAGCCTGATCACACAGGGACCTTCACTGCCACTGGTCGCTGGAGCCCGATCCTGCAGGGACCCTAGGACCAAGGTGGACACCAGCCTAAGGAGATGGTGACTTGTGCCCCAGGTCTGACCCTCCTGTGGACTCCATACCCTTCCAGCTGCTGGATAGCGGGCTCAGCAACCAGAGAAAGCCCCGGAGCAAAGACCTGGGCCGGGAGCTTCCAGGGAGATGGAGGGAGGCAGTGTGTACCTCATCAGCCCTCTGCTGTCTTTGGTCGTCTCTTCTGAGCAGCCAATATCCCAGGCATCAACTTTTATTTCTAGAAACAATTTGTTGTCCCCAATACATTAGTCTCTTCCCATTTTTTGAAACATTCTTTAAAAGTTACCCCCCAGTGCTGACTCCTGTCCAACTGCAGCAGCACACAAGGACATCCACCACAGCAACCAGGACACAGAGGCCACCAGTGCATCTGCGGCTCTAGGGATCGAATGGCTTGATTCCATCCCAGCTCATTGTGCGTGTGTCCAGTTTAGGATGGGTATCTGGAAATGCAGCTTGATTGCAATATTAATTAGTCGTGAATGCTAAGCCAAGAACTTTCCAAGGAAGATGAGAACTTGAGTAAATGAATCTATCTGGTCACTCTAGCCTATCACTTTTGTCCCATTTAAATCAGAGCAGAAGCTTCCCATCATGGTTGGAGTCGAGGCAAAGCTTGTAAAGGGGCTTTCGGGAAGGTGTTTTGCAGTCCCATGTTACCTCTGGAGATAGTAGGCCAAATGGTGGGTCTTGGCCTCCATTTGGGAAACAGGCACCCATTTCTCTTCCTGCCCCCATCAGAATGAACGTCCATGCTTGTGATGCTCATGTTAAAACCAGAGACACAAGGTGGTACCAGGATGCTTGGGGCCTTTGCTTCCTTGGTGTGGGAGGAGTGAGAAGGGCTGTTTTGTGCTTGCCTGATGTGTCTGTGGCATCAGAGGGGGCACCCCAGAAATGCCCTTAGGACCCCCAGCTTTAAGCCTGGGGACACCACTGATGAGGTTAGTTGGGTCCCCATAAACAGTAAACAATGAGGAGGACCAACCTGGGCAGAGGCAGGGAGCCCAGCTGCAGAGGCAGAGGGGCCTTGGTGGTCACTTCTTGTGCTTAGGGGTGGGGGACCAGTTCCAGAAGGCCTAAACTGCAGCACTCATGGCCACTGTATCTCTCTCTGCAGGAAGGAGGTGCGGGACCTGGGGCTGGTCATCCTGGTGGATGCGCGGAAGGGTCTGGTCGTCCCTGCTCTCTCCCAGGCCCTTGCAGCACTGCAGGTGAGGGTTCTGGCTGTGCGGGGATGGGGGTGCTCTGAGGGTTAGCATGGGGTGTGGGTGGGTGATGGCCTTGTGGTTAAAGGGGGAAAGAGAAGCAAGAGAGCCTGCTGCCAGCCGGTGCATAGTCCCTGCTCTCCCCAGGGGCCAGGCAGGGCCATTGAGCTAAAGAGCATCTGTCTATCTGCCCTCTGGGCCACGTAGGAGGCTGTATTTGGCGTAGCCTTGAAGCTGGCTAAGACTACCCTTGCAGGTGCTATGATCTCATTATCTGTCTGAATAAATTGGGATATGAGGGCATGTATACCCCTCAGACAGGACAGAGGTGTGGACAGGAGGGCTAAATTCATTGTAAGGGACAGGGCCCTGGACCCCTTGGCTGCTGACTGAGTCCTGGCTTCCAGGGGCCATGTGAGTTCTGGTCCCCATCAGACATATGTGCACAGACCCTGGGGTCCAGGGTCTCCGTTGGGTCCAGGGTGTCCATGGAGGTCTGGGATCTCTGCGGGGCCTTGGGTTTCTGTGGGACCTGGTGCCTCAGCTCCCTCCCTGAAAGCCCAGGAAGACTTGGGTGCCCCTCCTGCTGCCATCCCATTGAGGCTACAGTCCATTTCCTCTTCTCTGTCTTTACTGAAGGTATAGGGCAGGACCCTCATGTTGAGGTCACCAAACGAAGTATTTTGGGCAAGAAAAGACTTAGGTGGTATCATGGATTGAATTATGTCCCCAGAAAGTATGTGTCAACCTGGCTGGGCCTTGATTCTCAAGGGTTTGGCAGTTATGTAAATGATGTAATCATCCCCCATGATGCGATCTGATATGATCAGCCACTCATTTGTAAGAGGATTAGGGTGGACTGTGACACCATTACTCAGGTCACAGCCCGGATCCAATGTAAGGGGAGTTTCCCTGGGGTAGGACCTGTGTCACCTTTTATCTTAAAAAAGATAGAAGGAGAGAGAAGCAACTACCACCAAGAAAGAAGAGCTGCAGTGGAGCACATCCATTGGACCTGGGGTCCTGGTGCTGAGAACCTAGACCCAGGGGAAGATTGATGCCAAGACACATGGAGATCTCCAAGGGACACGAGATCTCCAAGGGACACTGGGCCCACAGATACTAAAAGGAGACAAGGACTTCTCCCCAGAGACTTCCTATAGCTGGTGCTATGAATTTGGGCTTCCAGCCCCTAAACTGTGAGAATACATTTCTGTTTGTTAAAGCCATCCACTTGTAGTATTTGTATTGTAGCAGCACTAGAGAACTAAGACAGATTTTGGAACCAGGAGAGGGGTGTTGATCTAACAGATATTTAAACTGTGGAAGTAGTTTTAGGATTGGTTAATGGGTAGAGGCTGGAAGAGTTTTAAAGTGCCTAGTAGTAAAAGCCTAGAATGCCTTGAAGTAACTGTTGGTGGAATTATGGACGTCACAGGCGATCCTGGAGAGGACTCAGAAGGAGGTAAGGAGAGTGGTACCACTGGAGACAATGCAGACAGCAAAAAGTAGTGGCAGAGAAATGGCAGCAGGAGAACCAGGGGACTGGTGTGAGACAGCACAGGAAACAACCCATAGAGCGAGAGAGCTGACTGCCTGGGCAGGAGGCTTCCTGTCGGAGTGGGGCTCCTCCAGGCACTTGTCAGTGGAGCTAGGCTTGCTGACCTTGGAGCAAGAGAGCTATGCACCTTTGGACTAACACTTACTGATGGAGGGTGCTTCTAGATGCTTATTAGTAGAGCTGAAGAGCTTTGTACCACTTGCCTGGGCAGCGCAGAGGCTGGGCCAGTCCAAGAGGACCAAGCGACTGGGGCTGGATGGCCAGGTAACCAGGAAGCAGACAACTTGTATTCTAGATTTATAAGTGAAGAGGAGTTTGCCCCAGGATGGAATTAGGACTTGGAATTGATTTAAGACTTTTGGAATGGTATGATGTGATAAAAAGAACATGAATTTTGGGGGGCAAAGGGTAGAATGCCATGGATTGAATTGTGTCCCATAAAAGTGTGTCATCTTGGTGGGCCCATGACTGTCAGTGGTCTGGCAGTTATGTAATGATGTAATCATCCCTCATTACGTGATCTGATGTGATCACCCAATCAGCTGGAAGGGGATTAGGGTGGACGTAACACCCTTACTCCCTGATCACAAGATATGAGGGGAGTTTTCCTGGGGTGTGGCCTGCATCACCTGTTATCTTACAAGAGCTAAAAGGAGGTAGCAGAGAAGGAGGGACTTGACTGCCATCAAGAAGAACGAGGAGCTAGGAGCAAAGAACCTCCTAAACCCAGGGGTAGATTGATGCCAAGACACATGGAGACCACAAGGGATGCTGGGCCCACAGATGTGCACAGGAGACAGGGACTTTCCCCCAGAGCCAACAGAGGAAGAAGCCTTCTCCTAGAGCTGGCACCCTGACTTCAGACTTCTAACATCCTGACTGGGAGGGAGTCAACTTCTCTTTACTCTAGCAGCACTAGAGGACTAAGGCAGTGACATGGCAAGATCCAACCCCCAAGTCAACAACAACTTATAGCAATGTGTCCTTGACGCGTTTGTGGAAATGGAAACAACCCCTCCTGGTTTTTGTCTCTAGAAGCAGACAAATGTCCACAACACTGAGTGAAAAGAGTTTGAAAAATGTAACCAGAAGCTTTGACCAAAGCCCTAGAAATCCTTGAACCCATGCTGTCTAGTTTGTTAAAGATGTGCATAAGCCACCACGTCACATAAACCTCCCTGAGGGTGTGGAGGCCCCACAGACCTCAAGGCACATCTGCGGGTCTGGGATCCTGATCGGGACACTGGGCTTGCCCACAACCCACAGCGAGTTTCACATTGCTCCAACATCCGTGCCCATGAGTTCTCAAGCCCGAGCCCACAAGCAGGAGCATGTCGGGCATCCCTCTTGTGTGACCATGACCTTGTCGAAGGCTGTGGAGACCTTGAATCTCCAAGGCCAAGACCAGTAGCCAGGGGACCCCAAGAGCCTGCCCCTGCGCCACCTCTGGCCTCTAGCTCTCTGCTTCCTAGCGTGTCAAATTCTGGATTCTGAGGCAGAGCACAGCCTCAAGCCCCAACACGGGCCACTCTTCCTCCTGGGGACCCTTGACCTCCCTCTTGGGGTAGGGGTACCTGGACAGAGAGATTACCGCCTTTCAGAGGCATCATCACTGGGTGACTTCCCATGAGTCCTTACGGGGGGCAGTACCAGGCCCTCCTGGGGGTGGAGTGGGGGCTGTGTCTGGTCCCTCGCTGAGCAGCCTCGACGACTGTGGGACCCCCTTCTCACCTTCTCTCCTCGTCCTCTGCTTTTCTTACCCTCATGTGTTTCTCCTTTCTCAGCCTGAGCTCCCTGGCTGGCCATGGTGGGGACAGTCCCGGCTCCTGTCCCACCATTATCTGCCGTGCCCTGGGCTTCCTTCTTCTTTCCTCACCAACCCTCGTCAACCCATAGGTCAGAGAACAAATGGTGTTTAGTCAGCTTTGTCATTTGCTGCTCTGGAGATGTTTGGGACAAGGAGGGTATGAAGTTCTTATCTTGGCCAGAGGTCTGGAGGCAACTGACCCAACTGAGAGATCTCAAGTCAACTGACCTGACTGGCCAGGACCCTGGAGAGCATGAATTCCCCACAGCAGGGGGCACGGAGCAAGCCCACTGGGTGAGGGCCCGGAGCCCCACTTTCTCATCGGGCCTTCTGTGGTCAGGTTCCTGCAGGGCAGTGTGCACACTTTCCCCAAAAGTAAAGCACCCCAGAGAGCTCAGACAGCACAGTGCTGTTTCAGGCCAGACTGAGGGGCCAGGGCAGCTTCTAGGGCCAAGACGTATTTATTTTGTTTGTTTTGGTAAAAAACAAACAAACAAACAAAAAAACCAAACTCACTGCCATTGAGTCAGATTCAAATCCTAGCAACCCCTCCTTGGGTTTCTGAGGCGGTACCACTACAGAAGTAGATTGCCCAACCTTCCTTCTGAGCAGTGGTTGGTGGATTTGAACCGCCAGCCTTCTGGTTAGCAGTCAAATGCCTTAGACCCTACGCCACCAGAGCTTTTGGTAGAGGGTCACTGAAAACGAGGAAAATCATCAATGAGATGGATTGACACAATAGCTGCACTACTAGGCTGAGTTAGTGATGGTACTGAAGATGGCATGGGACTGGGCAGAGTTTCTCTCTGTTATACGTAGGTCTCCATGAGTTGGAGCAAACTCCATGGCAACCAACAAGAAGTATTTCCAAAGAATTTGACATCTAAGTCTTGAAGGATGAACAAGAGATGGCTGTGTACAGGAATGATGGATGATGAGAGAAGAGTGTTCAGGGAAAAGGAGTACAAGGCAGAACTGCACACAGACCTAACGCTTTTGAGGAATTGAAAGGAATTGCCTTGAAACTAAGTGAGAGAGCTTTTGTTTTCTGGAGCTCTCGTAGCGTAGTGCCTAAGGCACTTGACTGCTAACTAGAGGCCGGCAGTTCAAACCCACCAGCCACTCCTTGGAAGGAAGGTTGGGCAATCTATTTCCGTAGTGATACCACCTCGGAAACCCAAGGAGGGGTCGCTATGAGTCGGGTCAGACTCGAGGGCAAATAACAACACCCTTGATTTAGGAGCGCTGGTGGTGTACTGCCTAAGGCATATGACTGCTAACCAGAAGGCTGGCGGTTCAAACCCACCAGCCACTCAGAAGGAAGGTTGGGCAATCTACTTCTGTAGTGATACTGCCTCAGAAACCCAAGGAGGGGTCACTATGAGTCAGGTCTGACTCAACAGCAGTGGGTTTGGTTTTAGACCCTTGATTTACCTATTGTTTATTAAACTTCATGCATAGGCAATTGTGGTGCAGGAAATTACGTGGTATGGTCTTCTGGCCATGGTTTTTGTGAATCCCACCAGATGGCTGGGTATTGTTGCTAGGTGCCGTTGAGTAGGCTCCGATTCTTAGTGACACTGCATACCACAGAATGAAACACTGCCCAGTCATGCGCCATCCTCACGGTCCTTGCTA